ATTGGTGATGCATGGTGGCGTGCTGTGATGAGATTCCCCCTCCCCAAGTCCCACACACCTCCCCACCCTGGCTGAGCAGCTTGCCCCAGCCCCAATCCCTCCCTCGCTGTGGGGGCATTGATCTGCCCCCACACACACCCATTCCCTTACCCTGTCGTCCACCACAACAGACTTACCAGCTGGAGGCAGCTGTGTCCAGTGTAGTCGAGGACTGCTGCCTGTTTAGTCTATGGCTGAATCTCTGAGTCAGCACTGAATCCTTTCTGAATCGATTTGGGGGCTTCTGATTCAATTTGGACCTTTTAATGGGTCTCCCAATTTGATTCAGATGTGGAGATTTGGCCACCGAATTGGGCCTAATTTCCTCTGAATCAAATCAGCTACTGAAGCTTTGCACAGCCCTACTGCTCAGCCTTTGCCAGCTTGTGACTCCTTGGGATATCTCCCCTTCACTCTTGCCATGCCTTGATGTTGTTGTCTTTAAAGAAAAGAGAGGCTACCCCAGGGCTTCCCAAGCCTGGTCTCACTCTTATGACCACAAGTGTCCATGATCATTGCCTTAAGGGCCAATAACTTGGACTTCCTCCTCCCCAGCACCCACTCCCATGCCTCACAGATGACATGCTGACACATGCCCTTCCTGGGCTACATGCTCTTTGACCCCTAACATTGGTGTCACTTGCAAATCAAGGGAAATGATTCCTCTGCCCTATTTAGCACTGTCCAGTTTTAGGCCACACACTTCAAGAAGGATGTAGATAGTTTGCAGCGTCCAGCACAGAGTGACCAAAATGATTAGAGGCCTGGGAGATAAAACTTACAAGGAAAGGCTAAATGAGCTAGGGTTATTTAATCCGGGGAAGAGAAGACTGGGGGGGCGGTGTTGATGACACTCTTCAGATACTTGATTATAAAGAGGATGGACAATGAGCTTTTTCTGTGGCTATAGGGGACATAGCTAAGATCAATGGCCTCAAGCTGCAGCAGAGAAAATTTAGGTTGGAGATTAGAAGGAACTTCTATGAGGACAGTCAAGCACTGGAACAGGCTACCTAGAGATGATGTGAAATCTCCATTCCTGGAAACTCTTAGCTGGGATGTTTTAGTTCAGCCTTGAGCTGGGGTCTGGTCTTCATGACCTCATGGGGTCCCTTCCAACCCTACTTTCCTATGATCCTTATGTTCCCCAAACCCCTCCTGAAAGGAAGGAGGCAAGTTACCAACATTCTCCAGAGCACATTAGATATTTTTGTCAAGCATGTATTTACAGGCAAGACTGGAAAGAAAAAATATCCAGTCTGAACAGAAAGAGGAAAAAGCAGCAGAACCTACATATAAACTGTATAGAATATCTGCATATAGTCTCAAACAAAAAAAAAACCCTAAAAAGAAAGTATTTGACAGTGGCAGACAAAGCCATGTGCCACATCCAGCAGCTTTCTAAATAGCTAATATTTCTACTTTTGTAGTGGGACTCTAATTCTAAGACCATGGGACTGCTTTGGCATTGGTGGGCTGGAGAAGAAATGGAGTGTGCAGTTAAGTTTAGCTACAGGAGTAGCTGTAACAGTTGAAAGATTATGTGATCTGAAGAGAAACCACACTATATCAGTTTTGCGAAGGTTAGCAGAAGTTTGCCCAAGTACAGGCGTTGTAGAGGCTCATATGGGATTAGATGTATATTTGTAGACTTCAAACTGTAGATGTCCTTGAAATGAAACGAACAAGTAACATGCTGTATACATTTTCAATCTATGAGCAAATTTGTCTTGAAAACTTGAAAAAATGCTATCTTATGTTTTGAGTGATTGGCATAAAACCAAAATAAGTGCTTTTTACAATTCTATTTTTTTCTCTCTCCTTATTCCTAAACCCTAATCACAGGTTAGTTTATTTGCTTATTTCATCTTTAGAGTGCCCCCTACCTTTTCATACTTCCACACATCTTCAGATCATCCCTGCCTGAATTTTAGGCATGTCTTTGCTACCTCCCTAAAACATATTTGAAAGCTGCCCAAACAATTCTGAACTCTTTTAATGTCCTGGAGCTGTCCTTTTTCCTGCTGTGTTTCAGGAGCACGGAATTCCAACTGATATGGGCTATGCGGTGGCTCCGCACCATTCTGGGGTCTACCCAGTACATGTTCAGCTCTATGATGCCTGGAAGAAAGTCTGGAATATCAAAATCACCAGCACAGAGGAATATCCACATCTGAAACCTGCACGATACAGACGGGGCTTCATCCACAAAAATATCATGGTAAGTTGTATTTGCGATTTCT